CAAGGGCTAACGTTTTTTCACAAGCCCTTTTTAACATTACCTTTAACTAATGTCGGCATTGCTTTCCATTGGACTTATTGTCAGACTTGACTTACATAGCAACTGTGAGTAAACAGTGATTCGTGACTTACCAACAAACTCCTCATAACGTGGACTCTCATCAGATCCGATGTCAGTTGAAAAGTTCTCCCTTCTTGGAATCTTTCAAATCTTCTTCTGTTGGATTTCACACACTATTTTGCTCCTTAGCGCCACACGGCCACTAGTGTTTGGACTCGGAATTGCATCCACCTATAATCTCATCACCGCACAAAGGACAGATGAGTGACAGGACAGGGGCACTACAGGGGCCAATCATATTTCAGCAGGGGCCAGTGCCCCTGTGGCCCCGCCCCTAGAACCGCCAATGGGTTCCGGGTTGGAGCATAAGGCTTTAACAGTCCAGTAATATAGGGAGGAGCTTGACCATGTAGAGCATTGAAAGTTCTAGTCAGGATTCTAAAATGAACTCTAAAGTTAACGGGTAACAAAGGCAGAGACATCAGAATAGGAGTGATGTGTGCTCTCCTGTTTGCTCCAGTTAGGAGCCTCGCTGCAGAGTTCTGGACCAACTGAAGGAGGTCAAGGGCTTTTGTGTTAAAACATGTGAAACGTGTGTTACAGTAATCTAGACGGGAGGAGATAAACGCATGGATGGCCCTTTCAAGTTCATGTTGACATCAACCTTCACAGTTTGGAGATATTTCTTAACTGATAAAAACAGTTTCGGACCAATGTTTTTGAGTGGCCTTCAAGAGACATTAATTGGCCAAAAACACCCAAATTCCTTAAGTTTGTCTTGACGGCAGAGGATAAATGACCAAGTTTTAGACTAATCAGGGGACCCATGCTCTCAGGCCAATGATCAGACGTTCAGTCTTTACAGAGTTTAGCTGAAGAAAGTTATCTGGCCAACACATTCTCACACCCAAGGCGTCAAAATATGACGCGTGTGACCAAGCCTCAATATATGATGATTCGGGACGCCCCAGCGCGTCAGGAGATGACGATCAGGGACAACCAGCTGACGCAGCGTCCCAGAGCGTCATTATCCGACGCCGGTGGTGAGACGGACATTAGAACTACTAGTGAACTACTTAACCTTCCCTTCACCCCAATCCTAACCTTAAGGTCACAGTTTATGGACCTTAAGGTTAGGAATGGGGTGAGGGGAAGGTTAAATAGTCGAATAATGTCCGTGTGACCGCGCGCGTCAAACAGTGATGCCAGCGGAGCCACGTGACCCAACGTGTTCCTGATCGTCGTCTCCTGACGCACTGGGGCATCCCAAATCGTCATATATTGAGGCTTGGTCACACGCATCATATTCATTGTGCATTTCCTGCTTTTTCCAGCAGTGATGTTGCTAATTCTGTTGAAGGAAATTCACTGTTTAATGAGAGACAGCTGGTGAAATTGATATGTAAATAAGTAAGAATGCATGTAGACCTACATAATTAAGCATAACTGAAACACTAATATAAAGTATATATATTATATTTTTTTCTCCTTTCGAATCTGGGAGGGTGGAACCACAGCTCCAGCTATGGACGAGCCCCCAGGGGGCCCAATTTGATATTTTTTCATGGGGCCCAAAATCTCTGGCAGCCCCCCTGTTTGTACACACACACACACACACACACACACACACACACACACACACACACGCACACACACACACACACACACTAAAATACTCTTATGGGGAGGCAAAGAAAACAATCTAATCCTTCCCATCAGAATTCCAGGCAGCACCATTAATCTAACATCATTTAAAATCTCATCAGCCAAAGGAATAAAAACCTGAAGTTCTGCTTTGATCTTGCCCCGTCACCAAATCCCCTTCCTAGGGGTAGATGCCTGAACTGAGTGTGTAGTGACATTAATAAACAGATGACATCATAATTGGGGCAACAGTGGCTCAGGGGTAAAGAGTTTCTCTTGTAATTATTGGGTTGCCGGATTAAGCCCAGTCTGTATCAGTCGTGTCCTTGGGGCAAAACACAGGTGGTGCCTGCTTAAGGCCAGTGCCATGGGTGCTTGTAAAATCCCTGTGTGTGTGTGTGTGTGTGTGTGTGCGTGTGTGTGTGTGTGTGTGTGTGTGTGTGTGTGCGTGCGTGCGTGCGTGTGTGCGTGCGTGCGTGTGTGTGTGTGTGTGTGTGCGTGCGCGCGTGCGTGTGTGTGTGTGTCAGGACCAATGATGAAATTTTCCCCTGCAATCTGAGGACATTTTTCCTGGTCCTAACTTTGGTGCAATGTTACAGAGCTCTACTCGTTAGTTTAAGAGGTAGCCTATGGTGTAAATTCAATTTTAGTTAGGGTTAGGGATTGACTGGTTAGGGTTAGGGTTAGGCACAATCCAGTCCCTAAAATGAATGGTAAATGGTAAGTGGCTTGTATTTGTATAATGCTTTCTGGGCTCTACAACCCCCCAAGGTGCTTCACAACACAATCAGTCATTCACCCATTCACACCCTGGTGGTGATGAGCTACAATTTAGCCAAAGCTGCCTTGGGGCGCCCTGACAGAGGCGAGGCCTGCCAAACACTGGTGCCACCAGTCCCTCTGACCACCACCATGGAAGTCAATTCAATTCTATTCAGTTCAAAAATACTTTATTAATCCCAGAGGGAAATTGATTGCTGTAGTAGCTCAGAATAATAATAACAATCAAGTCATCAAAGAGTTATTGCATATTACAATGGCTGTTGGCTGGAAGGATCTCCAGTAGCGGTCAGTGTTGCAGCGAACCTGAAGAAGCCTCTGACTAAAGACACTCTTCCGTTGTCGGACTGAAGTCAATGACGGTTCTCACTACAAATGCAAGACAAGAATGTGTGTGTGTGTGTGTGTGTTGGGGGGGGGGGGGGGTCAGAGAAAATATTCACTGCATCTTTTTGGTTCAGTTCCTGAGTGTTTTACCCAAACACTCCCATGTATCTCCGTTGTGTGGAATATTTCTAACATGGATCTCGATGGATTACTAGATCTTTACTTCCCCTCAACTAAACGAGTTCAGTTTGACCTTGAGATTGATTTTTAAGTTAGCCAACAGATGAGGTGGAGTAATTAACGGGGACATACCTGTAGATGGTTAGGTACTTTAAAGCTGTTAATGGTGAAACTGCAAACAAGCGAGGAGTTGAATGCAAACACGGAACATTGTCCCCTCTCCTAGGGGAGGGTTAGGGTCAGCAGTCAGGTTAAGGTTACCCAGAACTCCACGATGCTGGACGAAATGAGATAGCACTTAACACCAGTCAGTGTTTTCTAGGTCCAAACGTCTTTTGTTGTCCGTGGCATCAAATGATGTTTTTCTTTTTGGGATTCTGGTAGTTTGTCCTAAACTTGAAGCGGTAGCAGCCGGCTGTTTCTCCTCTGATATTACACCAGCAGTGTTCTGTTGCAAAATACATGAGAGTGTGACGAGTGGAGGGCCCTGGGGAGTGCGGTGGTTTGGCGAGACCAACAATCAGATGGTCCAATGGTTGCTTTTGGTTCAAAACGTGGTATTGGTGGAGGTTATTAGACAAATGCAAAAGAACCACGTTATAAATATATTTTATCTCCATAATATGTGTATAGCTATACTGTGTTAGAACATTGTTATGAAGCATGAAAAAAATATTTTGGACTATTTAGCTTTCCATATTTGTTATTGCAGCTTTGTGAAAGCACTCCCTAATTTAAAGAGCAAATCACCCCCAAATCTACTTTTCTCTTCTGATAAACTATATAAATGCGTGTCTAATCGTGCTGCAGACACGTGCAGTTCATAGTTTAGCACTTTAGTGCATTTTAGATAAATTTACATTTTCTGCCTAAAACTGTCAGTGTTGTGCCGTTGTCAGGTAAAAACTCCACACTTCATTTGAATTTAAATCTGGCATCGCTATTGACTAAGAGGTACCCTAGAACGTTAGCTGGTACCATATGATGTCACAATGTTGTTGTGAGCCTGTGTGCGTGTGTATTTGTTAGTGACTCTCGGTCTGCTAGGCAACAGCATTTGTTGCATTTTTCAAACAGGAAGTGGGAGTGGAGTAATACTCTGGTAGGGGGTGACTTGCTGTTTAAAGATGGCTAAAAAAACATTATAACAAAAGTGAACTTGTTAAACAGACCAGTGAATGTTTTTTCTTATTAACTTTGTTTATTCCAGCAGTGTCGCCATAGCTAGATGTTCTCGTCTTAGCCCACTTTTTTTTAAACTAATCAGACCTAAAATTAAAGCTAGCATGCACTTTGTCTTTTATAGTTCACGAGAAAGTGGCAGAAAGCAGACACACTTCCATTTACAGGACACAGAGCTGATGGGGAATTCATTGTGCCACTGGGCAGCAGTTACACAGATTACCTACAAATCTCTCCCAGGGGGTGAACAGAGGACACACACACACGCACACGCACACGCACACACACACACACACACACACAGAGAGAGAGAGAGAGAGAGAGAGAGAGAGAGAGAGAGAGAGAGAGAGAGAGAGAGAGAGAGAGAGAGAGAGAGAGAGAGAGAGAGAGAGAGAGAGAGACAGAGAATAGAAATTTAACCACAGCAGCCCACATGGGGCCAAGTCACTTCATTCCCTATTCTGGATGAGGAAGATAGTGGAGATGTAATCTGACTGGCAAACGTGAAATGTGAGTGGAAAGAGTGACCAGAAGGTCAGTGTGGTGAGGGGAAGTCGTGATAATGATGGAGTCAAATGGCAAAGGTCCTGGTGGACCATCTGAATGCTAAAAGCTGAAGGAGACAGCTCCCGTAGGCTGAGCTAAAACTTGTTCAAGCCAGTTTACAATGTGTGTGTGTGTGTGTGTGTGTGTGTGGGGGGGGGGGGGGGGGGGGGGTGCAAATGTATGATCCCGAAATAGAAATTTGTGTTTTATTTTTGACCTTGAATAAACAATTTGTTTTAAAACTTCTTCGTTATGATCTATTCAATTCCAACAATTCAACAGCACACCAACAAGAAATATTTAATATCTGGGCAAATTTGACTTAAAAATGTACTAATTTCTCTTTTATCACACTTGAAAATCATGTTTGGTCTTGCCTTTAATAAAGTCTATTAACCTGACAGCTTCATTATCACTTTGTTGTAAAAATTATCCTCTAATTTCTCCTGTTGACTGAAAATCCTGTTGAAATAAATCCTTCAGTTTTTAGCTATAAATCTTCTATTTAGTCTGAGCAAATGTAGGTGAGTTCACCGCTACAGACCTGTCCACTCCACAGCCCCGCCCTGTGCGGGTCTAAGCAGCCACTTTGCACTGGTGTCTATAGAGCTCAGCACTGCCCCCATCAGTGAGGCAGGGTACTGCTTGCCTCCCCAGTGCATTTTTACTGAGTGTTTATGACCGCTCCGAGAGACTAAACTTGTCACACACTCTCATTAAATATATTAGATCGAATCTAGAACGTCACCATGTGCAGCACATTGGAAATAAAACATATGTTGGCAATTTAAAGACAGACAACAGTGAGCGTGCACCAACTTCCTGTATCAGGTGTGTGCAGCGCTGCTCTGTGACAACATAGGCAGCGCTCTTCTCTGCCTCCACTCCAGAGGGCGCAGCGCCACACACACCTGATACAGGAAGCTGGTGCGTGCGCTCAGCCTGAATCGGGTAACGTGTGTGTGGCAGCTCAGAGAGCGCGGAGGCAGGCTCATCTCTGTCTCTCCTCTCGCTTCGGCGTGTACATTTGATCAGGGAACAGGTAATTCAGCGATTTTGACCCAAAACATGATGAAATCATACAGAAAACTAATGCATAGACCAGTCAGTTTAGATTAAATCATCATTAGTATTTTTCTTGTCACAATGACAATGGAGGCAGTGCCTCCCCTGCCTCCTCTGACTGCACGTCGCTGGTAAAAAGTACAGGTAAGTAAGTAAAAGTTTATTTATAAAGCGCCTCTCGCAGATATGAATCACAAAGCGATGAACAGCATGAGTAAAATCAGGGCAAATACCTCAAACCGATAAAAACAGATCATAAAAAATAAAAATAAAAAATAAAAATTAAAGGCAGAAGTACAAGTACCTGTTTGGCTCATTTCTTTAACTCAGTAGTGATTTCATGTTGTAGTCCTTTTTTAAAACACAGAGCAGTTCTGTTTACCTTTTTTCCCGCCACGCTTCGTTTGCAGCTGCAAACTTCCTCAGGCTGATGCTGATGCTGATGATGGCGTCACTTCCTTCTCCGTTTATCAGTAGTGATTTGTTGTGTTTTTTTTATTATTTACAAAAATATTTTTAGTAATTCACAGAAAGGACAAGGTTAGCAACTGGAATGGGTAATATAAAATGTATAGTAGGGGCGACGGTGGCACAGGAGTTAAGTGATCACCCCGTAATCAGAAGGTTGCAGGTTTGAGCCTGCTGAGTCTGTTGCTGTCCTTTTGTCCTTGGGCAGGACACTTAACACACCTGTGTACGGCAGACTTGCCTCTGTCAGTGCACCCCAGAGCAGATGTGGCTACATTGTAGCTCATGTAAATGTGTGTGTGGATGTGTGAATGACTGATTGTGTTGTAAAGCGCCTTGGGGATCCAGGACTCAAGAAGGCAGGTCATGTACCATTTACAAAAGAGCAAGAACTGCTATGATATGTACCGTATTGACCCAAATATAAGACAAGGTTTTTTTTTCATTGAAAATAATTTTAAAATGTGGAGTCGTTTTATAATGCGGTCTAACCATTACACACCTGTAACAGCAGAGGGCGCCAGGCTGTGTGTTCTCAATAGGAGACGAAGACGAGAGGTCCGGAGCAGAGTGGGCCAAAAGTGGGGCGAGTAACTCATTCACTGCCATCAGAAAAGTCCTTCACTGACAGTGTTTGTCAGCGTTTGCACAGTTTTTTTAAGTCACAGAACGTTGTGCGCCAGGATGATGTTGACGCCAAAACTACCAAAACAAAGAGGAGACTCACCTCTTACATCAGGAAGAATCCGTGCGTTTTGAGCGTTATCCGTTCTTTCATAATCCGTTGTCGAATTGTGATCGGCAGAAGCTTTCCTGGTTCGTGCCTCACTTTTTTATAGCAGCGGCCCAAAACGATCTCCTAACACATGGATGTTCTGCTTCCTGATCACGTGACGTGTGATGCACGTGGATGAAGATCGACTTTAGAGCTGAGATGTTTGTTCTCACGGTGCGGGAGCTTTTTCCGACGCCCACACAGTAAAAAAAATGCAAATGCTGACTTCAGTCGTCATTGGCAGTGAACATTCCTAAGGCAGTTATGCAAACTTTAAGATGACGGTGGTCAAATCAGCAGGCTTCCAACATTGCATGCATGGATGTCTTGGTTGGCAGTGAGGATGACATTCTGGGAGGAGTCTGCAGGTGTAGCGATCTGATGGTCCACAGGACCGTAGCAGCATGAGTGAGTACAGCAAGGCAGAGGGCGTCTGAATAAAAGCCTCGTTTGACTTTTGATTTCACACAGGGCCGCCACTGTCCATACGCAAGGTATGCAGAATGCGTAGGGCCTCGGTACTTGGGGGCCCCAAAAAATGGTTACAGAGTTGAGTTATTATTACAGTAGCATATTGCTCAGAAAACATACAAATTTGTTGCCCACCATTTGAGCCGTTGAGTGTTTTACTACATTTTGTAGCATGTCAGTCAAAATCAAGGGCTCCCTGGCCAATCAAGCTTAGGGCCTCCAAAAGCCTAGCAGCGGCCCTGGTTTCACATGTCAGCAAAATTCTGATAGTTTGCATTAAAATAGCATTTTTGCTCAGTATTTGTTCTCAAAATGTCAATAAAAATAGTTTTTTCCAAAAGTGAATTTTTTTGGTCTTTTCCTGAAGATTAGTCCTGGAAAGGGGGGTTGTCTTATAATCAGGGGGGTCCTATATTTGGGTCCAGACGGTAGTTTGAAATTGGAGCTGGCCCCGTTAGGCGAACCCTAGATCAGAGTCAGTCTACAACAGGTACATTTGTATGTTTGGATCGTTAAATTTCCACTTCAGATGAGCTGAACTCTCCCCCTGAGCGAACACTCTGTGTTTTCCTGCTTGCATCCATGAATCCCATGTTTGTTCATTATTGGTCAGCAGGAACCACTTCCATGATGATCTGCATAGTTCTGTTGAAGGAGCCTGTTGGTGCAAAGAAAGTCATGTTTTAGGAAAACTAACGCAAAGTCATCTTTATTCATAGCAACGAAGCACTTCACGGAGATTAAAATAAACAACATAAAAAATAAACATCATCTCCTGACGCTTCGACAAAAAACTCCATGCACTTTGGTTACAGTTACACATTTGATCATTTTTATTCAGTCACATTTCACTTCATTGAGTTTATCGGCACAGCTACTGTAGTCAACCAATCAACAAGGGAGCAATATAAAACTGGTGGGGCTGTCATACACACTGGACCACCAACTCCAGATGGCAAGGCGGGTCAAGTGTCTTGCCCAAGGACGCAGTGACTGCAATGGTTTTTCATGGGTCGCTGCACATCATCCAAAGCAGGTTTGGGATTCAGCTCCATGGTTTGGTGTCAGAGGAGAAGGTCCTGAATTAGAGGTCAAGCTTTAGATCAGGGATCAATGGTTAGGTCATCAAATGTTAGGACTGAGTTTACTTGGAGCTGCTTCACCTTGGCTGTACTTTAAGCTGTTTTTCTCTGTCTGTTAGCATTCAGAAGTTTTCCTTCTATGCCTAGTGACAAAACAACAAGCTCTACGGTCTGTACAGGGGTGGGGTTTGCCATCTCCGCTTCCGCTGGGACCGCTTCCGGTCGGTAACAAGATGGCGCCTGTGCTTGGCTTAACCGCAGTCACCGGCCACTTTTTCAAACTTTTCTCCACTAACCTCCTCTTTTCCACTTTGCTCCTGTCTGCGATCCTCTTCAGTAGTGTCCCTGCTTCCATCTCCTACGATCGCCAGACTCTTCTCTCCTTCCGTTCGTTCACGATCGCCTAAGATGCATCGAGGACGTACCTCCCTGTTTGTTTATCTGAGTGGCGCACTGGCCTGGAGCCAATAGACGATTCCAACCAGATCGCCCCCAGCGATGTTTATCCGGTCCCGGGAAAACGTCGGAGGAAAAGAGGTAAACAAGCAGGAATCCAGGTGAGAATAAGACATCTCTTAAAGCGTGGTTTATCTAGTAAACATCGGCGTGATCTTCTAGCTTCTTTTCCTTTGTTTGGTGACTTGAGCACCACTTCCGTATTCCCGCCAGGCCGCGTTGCGGGGTGGTTTCTCCGTCAAAGTTTTTTAAGGTCGGTTTATCCTCATTCCTCAGTGGTTTCTCCTCCTGTTCCCTCATTAGTGGTTTTTATAAATATTATGGATCTAACCCTGCTAATTTAAGTTTATGTTTATGTATTTAGCAGACACTTTTGTCCAAAGCGACTTACAAGTGAATTTATGTCCACTAACTCCAGCTGTTTCTGTAGTTTCTGATTCCTCCACCTCTCTCAGCATGGCTCTATTAAATTCCCGCTCTGTTAACAATAAGTCCTTCCTGCTCAATGATCTAATTCTCTCTAAAAACCTGGATTTTCTGTTTCTGACTGAAGTTTGGCAGCAAACATCTGATTATTCTGCTCTGATTGAACTCTGCCCGAGTGGTTATTCTTTTCTTAGCCAGCCCCGGGGTTCTGGTCGTGGTGGAGGCCAAGCTGTTGTTTTCAGAGACCATCTTCCATGTAGCTCTACAACCTCTGGTCACTTTGCTTCCTTTGAACTGCAGCTGATTAAAGTCAGGCGTAAGGACCCGTTCTATTGTGCTGTGGTCTATCGTCCACCTGGTCCAAACAGTTCTTTCCTTCAGGAGTTTAGTGACTTTCTATCCTCCACTGTGAAGCTGTCCAGGATGGTGATTGTTGGTGACTTTAACATCCACGTTGATGATCCCTCTGATCACTTTACCATGAATTTCTCCATTCTTATGGACTCCTTCAGCTTTACCAAGCATGTTTCTGGCCCCACACACACACCAGGGGGCACACTCTAGACCTTGTTTTTACCCTGAGTCTAAATGCTGACAGTGTTTGTCCTGAGGATGTTTATATTTCAGACCACCATTGCATTTTCTTTAACTTGTCAGTTTCTGCTTCCCCATCTCCTGCTCGCCGTATGGTTAGTTCTCGTTTTCTTAATGAGAGCAAAGCTAGCAATTTTTCTGCTGCTTTTGATCCACCCTGTTCTTCTGATAATGACCCAGATTCCTTAACTTCTCAGTTTAACGAGCACTGCCTCTCCATTCTGGACAATATCTGTCCTGTCAGAACCAGATCAGTTCCTGCAGTGAACCCTACTCCCTGGTTTAATGACAGCCTGAAGCGCCAATGCAGAAAAATTGAGCGTTTGTGGAAGAAACCCCATCTCCACGTCCATCTGCTGTACCTAAAGGATCTTCTGACATCCTTTAACTCTGCAGTCAGAGAAGCAAGGGTTTCCTATTTCTCTAACCTGGTGTCCCAGAGCAAAGGGAACCCCAAGGTGCTGTTTAACACCATCAGCAGCATCGTCTCTCCTGCCTCTCCTACAGCCTCCATCCACTCTGTTGCAGACTGAGAACTTTCCATCTTTCTTTGTGGACAAATTCAATAAGGTTAGATCTAGCATCTCTCCTTCAGCCTTATCGCTGCCTCTCCCGACTCCAACCAGGCCCGTCATCCTAGATAGCTTTGCTCCAGTTTCTTTGCCTGAGTTAACCAAACTAGTTCACTTTATGAAGACCTCTGCATGCCCCCTCGACATCTTACCCACATTTTTGTTTAAAAGTGCTTTTCAGTCCATCGGTCCCAGCGTGCTCTCCATAATTAATGCTTCTCTGGTTCCTGGTCAGGTCCCTGCTTACTTTAAGAATGCCGTAATCCACCCGCTTCTTAAAAAACCGAGTCTCGACCCCTCTCTCCATAGCAGCTTCAGACCCATCTCTAAACTTCCATTCATCTCCAAGATATTGGAAAAGGTTGTGGCTAAACAACTCACAGCTGCTCTTGATGAACATAACATCTATGATAGCTTCCAGTCAGGTTTTCGTAGAGCTCATTCTACTGAAGGAGCTCTTCTTAGGGTCTCTAATGACCTTCTGATTCACAGTGATGCAGGGGACTGTTCTGTTCTGGTCCTGCTGGACCTGACTGCAGCCTTTGACACTGTTGACCATCACCTGCTACTGGAGAGGCTGAGAGACTGGGTAGGCATATCAGGAACTGCTCTGGAGTGGTTCTCCTCTTATCTCTCTGAGCGCTCCTTTTCTGTGTCCGTCTTTAAGTTTAGATCCTCCACCACCTCCCTTACCCATGGTGTCCCACAAGGTTCTGTGCTGGGGCCTCTGCTCTTCCTCCTCTATCTGCTTGCTCTTCAGCACATCCTGAACTCCTTCAAAGGAATCTCCTACCATCTTGACGCAGATGACATCCAACTGTACATCTCCTTTAAGCCCCATGAGAGGTCTAAGCTGCAGCTGTTACACACCTGCTTAGACTCTATCAAAACCTGGATGGTGGGAACTTTCTTCAGCTGAATGAAGATGAGACTGAGAACCTCATCTGTGCCCCAGACAAGCTGATTCCCAAAGTCAGAGACTCTCTTGGTCAGCTTGCTTCTCACACCAAACCTTCCGTCAGGAATCTTGGCGTGACCTTTGACCCAGCTCTCACCCTGGATACTCATGTCAGTTCTCTTGTTGGCTCTTCCTTTTTCTATCTCAGGAACATTGCTAAGCTGAGTCCCATTCTGTCTCGCTCTGAACTTGAGACAGTTCTCCACACCTTCATCTCCTCACGCTTAGACTACTGTAACTCTCTTTTCGCGTGTCTGAGCAAAACCTCCCTGAACTGTCTGCAGGTGGTTCAGAATGCCTGTGCTCGGCTTCTCACCAAGTCCTCCAAACACACCCACATCACTCCGCTTCTCCTCCAGCTTCATTGGCTGCCAGTGAACTTCAGGGTTCATTTCAAGATCCTGGTTCTGGTCTATAGGGCCTTACATGGACAAGCACCATCTTACATTGGTGATCTTCTTAGTCCCTACACCTCCAGCAGGTCCCTGAGGTCCAGTGATCAAAGCCTACTGGTTGTGCAGCACCAGGCTTAAAAGCAAAGGTGACAGATCATTTGCTGCTGTGGTCCCCAGACTCTGGAACTCTCTCACCCTTAGCCTGAGATCAGTGAACTCGGTGAACTCCTTTAAAAAGCAGCTGAAGACTCACTTGCTCAAAGTGGCTTTAGTATGACCTTCTTCACCACTCTCTCTTCATTCGGCTCTCCCCACCTATTCCACCTTCCTCAGGATCCACTGATTTCCCTCTTTTCTCTCTCTCTTTCTTAACATTTTACGTGGGGGTGGGGATGCGGGTGGGGGTGGGGGGGGGGTGGGGGTGGGGGGTTTGATCCAGGGCCCTCCAGTTGTTCTGGGATTCTCCAGATCTCACAGATGGCTAATCCACACCTGGGTGGGGCTACTAAGTCCTGTGTCCTTACATTATTCCACTCTAATTCTGCAGTCATTTTTAATGTTTAACAGAACTAAATAGAAATATAATTTTAAAGTTGCTGGCCAGAGGCACGCTTCCTGAATGGAATATAGAAAAGGTATTAAAGCCTCAGCTAAAAGAATTTTTGGATTTCCACGGCTGGAATTTTAAGAAAATCCAACGTTTTTGAATACCGCGTCAAAAAAGATGAGATAGCTCCGGGTCTCAGCACCACCCCATGACTTCAACATACCTGGGCCTCCCCTCAGAAAGCTATCATAAAGTCTCCCCGTATCTGGTTTTTCTGCATTAGCATAATGGCGGACAAAGATGTTTCATCAGAGTCAGATGTAGCTTCTGAAACCTCTGCTAGTCAGTCAGATCGTTTTTCTCTGGGACACCACGACGAGCACGGATAGGTCCAGCCAGATAAGCTAGACCTGATGGAGACGGTTTCACTCAGAAAACCCATAAACTGATCTGGAAGCTGAAGGCAAAGTTAACATCAAGGAGAATATTGAATCAGTCCTGTTTATTCACTTTGTGTATTTCTTTTATCTGAGTGATCCCTGACCACCATAAGGCAGCCGTTTAGGATAGCATCAAGGATTATTGATATATTTGTCTTTGCCTCCACCTTTCCACCTCCTTTGATGATTTTTTCATGTTTTGTGTCCACAATGGAGTGTAGCTCCACAGTAGGAATTCAGAGATTTACCAATCTGAACCATTAGGGATGCAACTGCCCCAATAGCTCCAGTGTACATCGGCTAGAACTGACAGCTAAATGCACAATCATCAGTAAAAACCACGGTTAGATCATTTATTTCAAAGTTTATCTGCCATTTCCTTGTTTTAGGCATATTTAACGCATCATCAGTATCTTTTGGCGTTTGTTATCTCAGAAGCCAGGTGGTGCGCAGCTGCAGTTAGAAAAACCAACCAGTGATTGTCTGTGTCTCTTTAACCAAATAATAAATCAAATATTCTTTTCATAAGAAACTCTGCATTATTATATTTAAAAGATAGCATACCTAAAGTCTTCTGGATCCATTTTGGCCTGTTGTTAAAGCAAATAAAGATGTAATAGGCGGGGATGCCAGTGAGGGCAATTCCAAGTCCAATTCCAGAGCCGGTGGGATCAGAGTAAAAAGACAGAAACACCATGAAGAAACACGTGGCAACGAACACCACTGGGATGAAGAGCGGCACCTACGGGTTGGACAAAATGAATGTCACATAGTGTGTGTGCTGACGACAACACACAAGCAAAAATATGCATGTTGTAAGCAAAAGCCTTATATCTCACCACTGACAAGCACATACTGGACATCCCTGAATAAGCTTTAACGCTCCACTTTCTCAACAAAGAAACAGCAACGAGTTTATTTCCAGATGTCCTGAAACTATGTTTTTGTCAACTAAACGTTGCTTATTTACCCTAAAGAAGTTCGGAGTCGTCAGTTGCAGCACTGCTTAGAGAGACTGAGGGTTAGGGTGTCTTTTCTTTAAATCTGGCTAATCTGATTGGCTGTGCTGCAGCGCTCACACACAAATATTATACTGGATGAACGAATGGCTTAAGAGGGGGCAATTTTCAAAAAATATGGGTTTGAAACAAGGCATCATGGGGGAAATCAAGTCTTTTCAAGTTAACAGGTTCAAGTCAAGTCAAAGTCCAAGTCATTGGTGTACAAGTCCAATTCAAGCCAAGTGTTTTGAACGTTTTTTCAAGTAAAAACTAAAGTCATCAAATTAATGACCAAAAAGAAGGAAATCACGTTATCGCTGATGTCATATATGACGTTGTTCCTCTTCACTGACAGGATTAAAGCCATGAAAACACACCGCTGCACTCCTGGAACGATGCTGGGAGTAAATAAGCCGCTGAGTCACACGTAAGCTTCAGATATATGAAATTGCATTGCTGCAATAGTTTTATTTTGAAAATTACTGGGGAAATTACACTGAAGGACAGAGGGACATACGTGTCCCAGAAGAGGCTCGTGGAAAAATAGAACCCAATCTCATCTTTAGCAATGTGGCATGCCGCTTCTGGGACGCACTTGGGAATTGCTGCGTCGCTGCTGGTTTCAATCACTCCATTAATAATAATGGACTCAATTGAAGCGGTGACGTTCCGCTGCGGCTTCGCCCCGCTGTGGCGTTCAGTGTGAAACCTGGTAAAAAATACCCACTTCCCAGCTGAGCTTGAGACGGCAGGTTTCGGAGTCTTATTTCCTGATATTTGGACATCTCGCCAACAGTGGTGTGTTTTCATGGCTTTAATCTTGGCAGTGGAGAGGAACAACATCATATATGACATCAAACGGGATTTCCTTCTTTTTGGTTTAATGGTGGATTGCATAAACAAACTGTGACCTGTAGTCTCGAGGGATCTTGTGATCTTGCGAGTCCAGTGAAGAGCACAGCAAGGATGCCGTACCGCTGCCATCAATGCTTCCAGTGTGAAGCTGGGGTTAGTTCCCAGAAGTGGTACACCAGTATATGGTTTCCCCCTGAGAACGACTTACAAGGCATTCATTCCTACTAGAGACCATTGTAGATGTGTTGATTAAACAAGTGAACCTTTCCTTTAAGTATCAAGTGTATGATTTAAGATCAAGGTGAATGTTTGAGTGACCTGTGTTTAACCTCTGAGTTGTCTTTGTTCAAGCACAAGCTTAAAACCTACCTTTTCCAACAGGCTTTTTATCAGTAGCTATCCTCTGTTGGCTCTCCTAACCCTTCCACTGTCCTAATGGGTGTGATCCGGCGAGGAAAGTTGACCATTGAGCAGGGTTGATGGTTTATGCCTTGGGTCCCAGTGGCAGGGGTGAGGTGGTGCTCACACCTCACCCCTGCCACGTGGACCTCACCCCTGCCACGTGGACCCAAGGCATAAACCATCAATCCTGCTCAATGGTCAACTTTCCTCGTGGGGTCACCCATAAAGACAGTGGAAGGGTTAATCTCTTTTTTAGCTTTCTCTTTAGCTTTTATGTCACTCTATATGTTGAAATTACTTGTATGTTATTGTTTTATGAGTTTTTACTTGTGCTGGTTTTATATAATATATTTTATTGTTATGTCCTGTAAAGCACTATGGTCACCTTCCATGGTTGTGGAAAGTGTTATACAAATAAACTTGATTGATTGATTGATTGATTGACATGTAACATAGTTGTCATGAATCCAGGAACACTACAGATGAAAAACCAGACCTTGAAGGGGCGGGGCAGATCAGGCTTGGTGTACCGCAGGTAGAGTAATCCCAGGACAACAAAAGCAAGGTAGAGCATCCGCAGGAAGCCGATGAAATTTAGCAGGCTGTAGATGTTCCCCACAAACAGCTGCACCATGGTCAGGGGGTACTACACAAGTACACACACACACACACACACACACATGCACGCACAAGTACGCAGACAGTTGAAATAGCATTTTGCTGGAGTTAGTTCCGGCTGCAGTTATTGTATTTTCTTGCCACCGATCATTGTTCCGTAGCAGTGAACCCACCAGAATGAGGACAGCAGGAAGTGGAGTGTGTCTGCGGATGTGGATCATAGAGAGGATCTCAGGAAGCTGCTTTTCACGTGAGGCCACATAGAACAATCTGGTGAATTACAGCGCGCGCACATACACACACACACACACACACACACAAGTTATCGCTTGGTTTCAACCATGGGCTTTTAGTGGACACATACAGGGTTGTGTCTTCTCTGACCATGGACGCAGTTTTGGGGGAGACAGGGGGGACATGTCCCCCCATTTTTTCCAAAGCCAATTTTTGTCCCCTGCACTTTTTACCGTCCAAAAACAACATTACAATATATTAAATAGACACAGGTTGAGCACTAGAACCAAGTGGAAAACAACCGCTTGTGTTGAAGCCTGTTTCCCATTATAGCCGTCATGAGCTGATCTAATGGCTCTGCTACTTGCTAATTCAATTCAATTCAAAAATACTTTATTAATTTCAGAGGGAAATTGATTCATTTTAATTGGTTAATGTGTGATTGGCTGTTCCTGCCACCTGTGCACTTGACAGTTCTCCATTCCTGACACTGCATAAAAGAGCCTCTAGGCTGTAGTTGTATATACATGTTTTTGTGTACTTCCTGTAAAGTTCTCCCCGCCCCCCAAGTCAAAACTACGTTCATGCCTCTGACAAACTGTAAATGTAAAATGGAGCCACTTGAGTAAATGAATGCTTACCTCGATACAACAAAGGTGACGCCGTTCATGGAGCCAAAGCAGGACAAAGCCACAAAGACTGGGACTGCAAGTGAAAAGTTCCCCATAACCTTCTCTGCAAAAGTCTAAAGAAAAATCAAGACCTCAGTGACTGGGTAGAACAACAGTGGCCACACTTCAAAGTGGCTCTGCCTCCTCCACTGTTTTTTCCTGATGCCTGTATTTCTCATAAGTTTGATGATTATGGCTGCAAATAATGTATTAAACCTGTAAAAATTGTGAAAATGTTACATATTGCACACTTTCTAATCAGCTGATTATGTCTCCTGAGTCACCTGGGCAGTGACCTGAGGCCTGGAAAACCGAAACCGTTGGAAAATGACGATAATTCCACATTTCCCTTCTCCAAATCAGCAGTTTACAGATGGTGAGTAATCAGTTTTACAGCTAAAATTATTTATTTATTCACAAATATTTTAGCTGAAAAAGCCTCTTGAGATGGCCCATCTCGTTTACAAGGGGTCCTCTCTTACAGACGACAGCATAAGAGTGCAAGACAGCTGAGTGTAGATTACTTCCTTTTACAACTGAGGCACGGTGGAGAAAGAAGGGCCCGGTAGGGATTCGATCCGCAGACTCCCGGCTGAGAGTCCCACGCCCTAACCAGTCAGGGTGCATGATCAATCAGGATACAGTGACAGGACGCTCACACAACCTTTTACTCCCCCACAGACACCCTGTTTATGATCAAATGTTGTTAAACAAGTCTTCTTCACATGCAGCAACCTGGCTTCACTTCCCCACCAAACAGGAAGTCACCAAACGTATCAGACCTCTCTACATTCTCTCGTGTTTAGTTGTAAACAAACGTTGAACCTCTTAGGATATTTTTGGCATGAACAGAACAGATGTCCTCACCTCTTTATCGTCATTGCCGTTCACACTCCTAATAGATGAACACACCCATATCTCATATAGTTGTGCCTTATGGTCAGGGTAAAATGTTGAAGACGTGAGACAAACTCTTAAATTAAGTTTTCCATGTAAACGTCTACCCACTGTCTGTGATAACGGAAGAACAGAGTATAATCCGCTAACGATATCACAACCTTCAAAGAACACCAACGCTCTTAACACCTTTCTTAAGGCACTCTGAAACACTCATCGTGCACAGGATAGTAAAACTAACTCCATTACGAAAGATCTGGGATGTTTCCGTGATTGAGTCTTCCTCAGCTAAAGGCCTACAGATGCACTGCAGTCTATTAAGAGATGCAGCCTGCTGTTGAGGAATGTGTGTGATGAGATTAGCATTACCAGTACCAGAATGAAGCAATTGCATTAAATGAGAAGTGAAACCATCAGAAATGCTAGACTAAAGACGACACGTTAAGTGCAGGAAGGCCGGTGTGGTGCTTAGCACTGAACATGTTCACAGAGGTCAAACCAAAGCAAACACTTGATGCAGACAACACAACTGACCTTTCCGGAAGAAGAAGAAGAAGAAGAAGAAGAAGAAGAAGAAGAAGAAGAAGAAGAAGAAGAAGAAGAAGAAGAAGAAGAAGAAGAAGAAGAAGAAGATCTTTTATATAGCACCTCTCAAGATAAAAATCACGAGGCACTTCACAAAAACAAAAAAATGTAAAATATAAAAAGACTTTAGAAAATGATTAAAAATATGTTTCAAATGAGCAAAAAATAGACACAATTGTGATTAATAAACGTAAAGAAAGAGAGAGAGAGTGAATAGGAAAGAGGGAAATCAGTGGATCCTGAGGAAGGTGGAATAGGTGGGGAGAGCAGGATAAGGAGATGGTGATGAAGGTCACACCAAAGCTTGAGCAGGTGAGTCTTCAGCTGCTTTTTAAAGGAGACCACTGAGTCCACTGATCTCAGGCTCAGGGGGAGAGAGTTCCAGAGTCTGGGGGCCACAGCAGCAGATGATCTGTCACCTTTGGTCTTTAGCCTGGTGCTGCACAACCAGTAGGCTTTGATCACTGGACCTCAGGGACCTGCTGGGGGTGTAGGGACTGAGAAGATCACCAATGTAAGATGGTGCTTGTCCATGTAAGGCCCTATAGACCAGAACCAGGATCTTGAGATGAACCCTGACGTTGACTGGCAGCTAGTGAAGCTGGAGAAGAAGTGGGGTGATGTGGGTGTGTTTGGAGGACTTGGTCAGAAGCCGAGCACAGGCGTTCTGAACCACCTGTAGACGGTTCAGGGAGGTTCTGCTCAGACATGGGAAAAGAGAGTTACAGTAGTCTGAAGCTTGGTTTATGCTTGACGCATTCACTTTCCATGAGGTGATGCGGCTTGCGGATGGAACGCGCTTCACAACTCGCAGTGTTTATGGTTCATGCGGCTTGTCTCTGCGGTGAGCCAATATTCTCCCAAACTGTAGGGGGCAGCATGGAGCTCTACGGCATGCATCCAACACTACATCATAGTAGAAGTAGAAATTACTGTTTACAACACGGCATTTCAGCATTTTTAACAGCGTCCTCGTCTTTTCCGACAGTGCGAGCTATTTCTCTCCAAGAATTATTAACAACATGTTGATCACGGTGATCTCTGAGAGCTGAATCATACAAATGTCTGTATTTACGAACCTCTGCCATACTAGTTCTTGCCAGTCCGCCATGTTTTTCCGCGTTCGACCGTCCGCGTGGTTTGAAATTTTCCGAGGTGCGCGTTGCGGAAATTCTGGGCCGTGCGGAGGCGCGGTGGAGGGGCGTGGTTGTAAAAATGACGCAAAATGACGCAACTTTTCCACGCGGAGCCGTGCGGACCTCGCAGACGCGTCAAGCATAAACCAACCTTAAGCGTGAGGAGATGAAGGTGTGGATAACTGTCTCAAGTTCAGAGCAGGACAGAATGGGACTCAGCTTAGCAATGTTCCTGAGATGGAAGAAGGAAGAGTGAACAAGAGAACTGACATGAGAATCCAGGGTCTACTGCTGTAGAAGCACAGCCAGCTCCTGAGTCTGCATCTGTCCATTTTTATGGGGCTTTTAAAATTTTTAGATTTTTGGGTGACATGTTACTCTGCAAATCTAAGTGATAATTTTTCTTTTTGGTTGCAACGTCATTATTTATTTGTTTGTTTAATCGAGTACCTGAACAGGTAAACAACACAAACAATGTCTGCCAGACGTTTGACTGTAGAGATGCACCGATGCAGATTCCACCATTGGCTGCCATTCTCTGGTGGAAGAGGGAACCTGTTAGTGCTGAGCAGGAGGCTGTGTGATATCAGCACAGCAGTGCTCACAGATCAGGGCATCTCCAGGAACATTAACAAAGTGGGACTGACCGCCATCGACGCATCCTAAAGAGAAACCGTAAAGCCATTAAGCAGTTCCATTTCAAAGGATCTCTGACATTGTGAAGGGGACCAGATGCCAGTATGTGGAGGTAAGGAAGCATCACTATACTGTGACATCGTATCAGGCAGTCAGAGTCAGCCTGAGTTTACATGGGACAATGTGGCATTTCACCAGCCTCGCCTTGTCCATGAGGGGTTTGCAGTACACCCCGGTAAGATGATGATGTTCCTCCCAGCTTATTCTCCATGTTTGAATCCCATTGATGAGTTCTTCGGTGCGTGGAGGTGGAAGGTTTAGGATCACCATCCCTATATGCCCATGCTGGATGCAATGACTGCTACTGCCCAAGAGACAGGTGCAGAGAGGTGTAAAAGTAGAAAACAGCACGCAAAATTGTTCCCTTGGTGCATTGCAAGAGAGGGTATTAGATGCTATGTGGATGAAGCCATGTGACCCATCGTCGAGACAGAAGAGACTGAGTATCATTGATGGCTATAATGATAAGGCTTTTCTAGGCACTCAAAGCACTTTCCATTATTCACGCACTCACACATTCACACACTGCCCGTGATGGTAAGCTACTATATAGCTACAGCTGCCCTGGGACAGTCTGACATGTCTTCTACAGTAATACATTTTAGTGGTTGGATTACCTGTGCAGCAGCCCATCGGGCTCTGCAGAAGCCTGTAAATCACCTGCTGACTGAAATCGGGTGTGTTGAAGCAGGGTTAGAGTTGAAGCTAAAACATGCTGGACACTGGCCCTCCAGGACCAGGAGTGATTACCACTGGTTTAAATGGAAAGGAAAAAAATTACAACCAGAAATTGTTCTTTGAAAAGCCTAAATATGGGAATATCGCAGGAGCTCTGAGAAATAACCAGATGCAATCCCACAAGACAGCGCTACACTGGAAAGACTAGGTTGAGCCCAACCACTTGACCAGAACATGAATATTAAATCAGCTGATTGGCCCTGATGCCTTTTGCAGCGCAGGCTAGCGTAGATCTACGGTTAGCATTGACACCCCCAACATTTCTATATTGCATATGCTGAAGTGGGTTGGGACATGCACATTAAAGGGGTGTGTCCTTATTTATGATGTATTAAACCAGCTGCATCGTCTACATTTGGGTAGTGCTGTTACAACTCAGAGGACTCCAAAGCACTATACAACACGTCATTCGCCCAATCAAACACAGTCACACGTTGCTGGTGATAAGCTACTCTGTTGCTACAGCTGCCCTGAGGCGCACTATCAGAGGCAAGGCTGCCATACACGGGTGCCCCAGTCCCTCTGACCACCACCAGTAGGAAAGGAGGGGGAAGTGTCTTGCCCAAGAATGAAAAAACGAACACAAACTCCAAATCTAATCTCTGAATAATTTTCATTCTACGTCATAAACTACGTGCTACAAAATGTGTAACATTTTCAAGGGATATTAATACTTTTGCAAAGGACTTGTACCTGGTTCATCACAGAATTGAGATTTGGTGTCTGTGGTCACCATATTTGGATTATTTGTTGATCTCACCACAGCAACAGCTTCTGAGGCCAGTAGCTCCCCAGCTGTCATCACAGTGTAGTACGCAACATTGATCAGCACATAGCAGAAGGTCACAATCGCCATGGAGACACAGATCGCCAATGGTAACGTCCTTAAAACAAGGAATGAAAACTTTTATTGTCGAACAGCCCTACACTCCTTTGTTACTTTTATTCTGTTGGAGACGTGACCTAGGCCCTGTCCTCATTTTGTATCTGTCCTGTACAAATGTCCAAAAAACAACAGCAGTACCTCTAACCTCAACCTCTGGTTGACTCGCTAGCTCTGATTTTTGTAATTATTTTGTAATTATTAACAACATTCAGGGAAAGTTCAGGCTCAAATCTTTCATTACAGAACATCGAGCAAAATCAGCTTACTTCTCTGGGCTGTGTACCTCCTCTGCCACAAAGTTCAGATAAAACCTGGAAGAGCAAACAGGAAACAACGTTACCCCCAAAAGAAAAGATAATAGCAAAATGTGTGGATGTCTCTTTTCACATGTTCGACTTTTCTTTGGGTATTTGTTTTAATAAAAATAGATGGACTTTATGTTTCCATGGCAATAATTTCATTTAATGTCTGTCTAAAATCTTTGTAATGGTGTTGGGATATTTCCAACATGGGAAAGTTTGAGTGAGGATTGGGACGAAGGTCAACCGCATTGAAACCTTTGCTTCCTCTTCACCACAACAGACCGATTTCACACCTGCACAACTGCAAACGCTGCTACAGTCAACCTACCACTCTGTACTTCCATCACTTGTGGAAGAGAGGGGAAGTTTTGTTATAACAGGTGACCTGCCTCAATGCAGGGAAGCATGATATTAAAACCCAGTCTTCCATTCTGCAAGGTCACTTTTTTATCGAATGCCTTCAAAGAACCCTAGAGCACCAGCAGACAGAGAGCCATTAGTGTGTTTACATGTGCTGCAGACAACTGAAATATTGCCTTAAATAGACTGACATCAGATTTTTTAAATGCATGTGTAATGTTAGAAAAATAGTATGTTGGGTCAAGTAAATTGCTTTAAGAGCTATTTATTATTACAAACACCACTTGAGACCAATAAGCTGTAATACTCTGTTTAAATATAGAATATCACCTTGCTTGGTCTGTATTTGTTTTAGTCAGAAGATTCTAGGATTCTTTTATTTCATTAAGGACTGTACACACTTCGTTTTGATTCAAGAAACAGTCAGGTTTCTAAAAATTAAGAATTTATTTTGCAAACAATTAACACTTGACAAAATGTTTAAACTATTATTTACTGAGTGGATGCGAACTAAAAGATGGTGTCTGGAACTTATGTGTGAATATAATGTAATGGAGTCAGAATCTCCGTTTCTCAGAGAGCTGAGTTATGGACATAAAAGAATTTGGTTTGCAAATAAGCTATGAAGCTGTTATAATCAAAAACACATACAGACGCTATCTCGCTGTGTTCTACCTCACCCGTTCTGGAGACCCCTCTTTGGATCCGAGAGGTCAAGGAGCCGACGACCCCACTGCACGTGGTTCTTAGAGAAACCTCGATGCGACCAAATAAGTCCTGAGATGTCTCCGGGTCACAATGATAAATGAAACCGAGCGTCTTAAAAATAACTCTGAAGGAGTTTGTGTTAGCTCTGTACTGCATGTACTACCTTGTTGTTCTCAGCTTCGCAGGTGTGAAAAGGGTTAAAGGTTTTGACGTGTCAAAATCTTTGCTGGTTAAAGAGGCTTTTTGCTCAGCTGGCCGGTCTGAAGCTTTGCTCTAGAACCCTCAAACTGTTGAACTGTTCAAACTCTGACTCTTGAACTGAGGGAAAAACCAGAGTTCAATTCAATTCAAAAATACTTTATTAATATGAGGGAAATTGGTTGCTGTACTAGCTCAGAATAATAATAGCAATCAAGTCATCAAAGAGTTGTTGTATATTACAATGGCTGTTGGCAGGAAGGATCTCCAGTAGCGGTCAGTGTTGCAGCGAAACTGAAGAAGCCTCTGACTGAAGACACCCTTCCGTTGTCGGACAGTCTTGTGAAGAGAATGCTCAGGGTTGTCCATCATTTTCTTGATTCTCTGGAGAATCCTTCTTTGCATTATCTCCTCCAGTGGTTCCACAGTCATCCCCAGAACAGAACCAGCCTTTTTTATTAGGCTGTTGAGCCTTTTCAGGTCCCTGCTTCTGATGCTGCTACCCCAACAGACGATGGCTGAAGAGATTACACTCTCAACAACAGACTTGTAGAAGATCTGCAGCATCTTGCTACAGACATTGAAGGACCTAAGTGTCCCCAAGAAGTGCAGTCTGCTGTGTCCCTTCTTGTAAACGGCTTTGCTATTCTTTCTCCAGTCCAGTCTGTTATCCAGGTGAACTCCAAGGTATTTGTATTCCTCAACCACCTCCCCTTCTTCTTCCATGATGGAAACAGTGTTTGACTCCACCCTGTTTCTTCTGAAGTCTAAAATCATCTCCTTTGTTTTGTTCACTTTCAAGGTCAGATGATTGTTTCCACACCATGCCACAAAGTGCTCCACCAGCTCTTTGTACTCAGCTTCCTGTCCATCTCTGATACACCCGACAACTGCAGAGTCATCTGAGTATTTCTGTAGATGACAGGTCTCTGATTTGTACTGGAAGTCTGAGGTGTACAGGGTGAAAAGGAATGGTGAGAGTACAGTCCCCTGTGGTGCTCCAATGTTACTGATCACCAGGTTTGATGTGCAGTTCTTCAGCCTCACAAACTGTGGTCTGTTTGTCAGGTAGTCTTTAATCCAGGCGATAGTTGAGGCCCCCAACTGTGTCTTCTGGAGTTTCTGGCAAAGTACATCAGGCTGGATTGTGTTAAATGCACTGGAGAAATCAAAGAACATGACCCTGATGGTGCTGCCCGCTTTGTCCATATGACAGTGGATTAGTTGAAGCAGCTGGATGATGGCATCTTCAACTCCAACTCCATGGCGATAAGCAAACTGCAGCGGGTCCTGATATGTTCTAGTTTGCTTATTCAGGTGGAACAACAGGAGTCTTTCCAGGACCTTCATGATGTGGGATGTCAGGGCAACCGGTCTGTAGTCATCATTGACTGATGGGCGAGTTTTCTTTGGAGCTGAAACAAGGCAGGATGTCTTCCACAGGACTGGAACCTTCTCCTGGGCCAGGCTGAGGTTGAAGAGGTGCTGCAGAATCCCACAGAGCTGCTCTGCACAGGCCTTCAGTACCCTGGGGCTGACACAATCTGGACCTGCAGTCTTGTTCCTGTTCAGTCTCTCCAGCTGCCTCTTCACCTGACTTCTGGAGACAGATAGGTGGGAGGGGGAGGTGGGGCAGCAGCATCTCCTGACTTGGTTGAAGACAGATTTATTGAACCAGAAGAGTCCATGACTGTGTTAGAGGTCAAAAGAGCTGGTGTGTGACAGAAAAATGTTGGATCAGAGGAGGATGGGATGTCTGATTGGCTGGGGACAGGCAAGAAGGATGCTGGGTCTGTTCCTGAACTGAACCTATTGAAGAACTTGTTCAGTTCATTGGCTGTGTCCAGGCTGCCATCTGTGCAATCCTCCCTCTGCTTGAAGCCTGTGATCTTCTTCATCCCCAACCAAACATCTCTGATATTGTTCCTCTGTAGTTTGTTCTCCAGCTTCTTCCTGTATGCCTCCTTGCTGTCTCTGATTGTGATCTTCAGTTGCTTCTGTATACTCCTCAATAATTCCCTGTCTCCCTCCTTGAAGGTTTTTTTTTCTCATTTAGTAGATTCTTCAGTTCACTGGTGATCCAGGGTTTGTTATTAGCAAAGCATCTCACTGTTCTGGTGGGTATGATGTTGTTCACACAGAATTTTATATAGTCAGTGAAACATCCAGTCATGGCACTGATGTCCTCTTCATATCCTTGGCAGAGAGTCATCTAATCTGTGGTCTCAAAACAACTGCAGGGCTTCTTCAGCATCCTGTGACCATTTTCTCACAGTTCTTCTTGTCACAGGTTGCCTCTGAACAAGTGGTTTGTATTGTGAGCAGAGAAAAACAAGATTGTGATCTGATTGTCCCAGAGGAGGTCTTGTTTTGGACATGCATGCATTCTTTACATTTGCATAACACAAATCCAATGTCTTGTTTTCTGGTGGAGCAGCTGACAGACTGTTGAGATGTTGGAAGTGTAGCAGAGAGAGTGGCATGATTAAAATCACCAGATATAGCCACAAATGCATTGGGGTGCTGGGTTTGTAGCTCAGTGACAACAGAACTGATGGCATCACATGCATTTTCAGCAAAGGCTGAAGGTGGAATATAAACGGTTGCCAAGACAACACTGGTGAACTCTCTTGGCAAATAATATGGGCGACAACTTACTGCCAAGAGTTCAACATCTGGGCTGCAGAGACGACATTTCACTAAAACATGACCTGGATGGCACCATCTGTTGTTGACAAGCACTGCCACTCCACCTCTTTTTCTTTTCCCGCTCCTCTTTAGATCTCTGTCTGCTCGTACAGTCAGGAATCCTGGCAGAGAGACGCTGGAATCGGGGATATGGTCCTGCAGCCTCGTCTCAGTGAAACACATATCATTACACTGCCGATACTCTAGTTACTAGTTTTAATGGATTGATGTTATGAATTGGTTAGCCAACCAAAAGTTGACAAGTCTTAGGATATTACCAAGCATCTCAGAGACACACCCTCTTTGATCTGGAGACTAATAATCTGGGCAAAAGGTTAACTATGTGTCATGCATTTACTTAAATTTACTCTGTCTTTGTATGACTGCAAATGGTGATGACCTCATCCAGTAAACATGCTAAGCATACATCTTTAAGCACAGATCAATGGACATTTCATTGTTTTATAATTATATAATCTTCTTTCTTCTGGGAATAAAGGAGTTCATTTGAAAGAGTTTCTCTGTGAAGGGGACCTTGGTAGGAGAGAATGTTATTGTTTATCTTTTATTATCTCTCAGAGCTGCAGTCCAGCTGGTGTGAGGAAGGCAGGCTCTGATTAAACGGACTACGTGCAGACTTCCAGTCTCCTGTGAGGGGAAAATGTTGTAGGTTGTGTCAAAGCCAGGTTAAGTTCACCCGGCTGTAGATCTTGACCTGTGGGATCTCAAAATCAGGCCATTTTTTGACGTTACACATGTAAGCACATTATTCTGGCTGAAGTCAAACTGGTTCTAATCTAATCTAATCTAATATTACTTCCACATTGTTTCACCCCCCCCCCCCCCCCCCCCCTATCCATAATGCTTACTGTGTATGTGTCTACATAGGAACTACTGTTGTATATAGTGTCTTGTCTTATTTATGTATTTAGTTATATATTTATTTTGTGTTCTTGGTCACTTTTGGGCTCTTGCTATCTGTCCTGAGCTGTGGTAATGCACCAACACATTCTCACACCCAAAGCGGCTAAAAACTGACGAAGGGTGACCAAGCGTTTGTTTCCATCGGGAGGCGATGCGTAGTGCCAGAGCATCTCTTTCCGACGCCCACGGTAAAACAGATTTTAGCCAACTGTGACCTTTACCCTTTTGCAATTTAACCTTCCTCTCGCCCCATCCTGACCTTAACCCACTTGAGCATGAGAAACTTTGTTTCTTGTATCGTTCCTCTCAAACACGGTTAACTGAAAATTTAGAACAAGAAATTGAGTTAAGGTTAGGATGGGGGTGAGGGGAAGGTTAAATTGCAAGAGGTAAATGTTGGTGAAATGTCCGTTTTACCACGGGCATCAGAAAGCGATGCTCTGGCACAGTGCGTTGCCTCCCAAACGCTTGGTCACCCTTCGTCAGTTTTAGCCGCTTTGGGTTTGAGAATGTGTTGAACGCACACATTTCCTCACTGTGGGATCAATAAAGTTGTATCTAGTTAAGCTGAAGCACCCAGACAATGTGGCTGGAACTCAATTTCATTTGCATGTAAACGGCTCAGTTGAGCTGATGGTGGCTGGACGGATTTCCCACAAACAATGACGAGACCGCAGAAGTGGTCTTCTAATAATAACACTGCCACAATGTAACACCATCAAACACCAAAATATGTACCAAAAAGCTGTGCTGTGCCATTGTTGTTGTCCTTTCCTTCGGCCATTGTACGTATCCTGTTTTAACTTTGTCTGCTTTACTCCTGCCAGCATTAGTTTAGTATTTGTGTTACTTTATTGTAACCAGGAGATTACCAACACAAAATGGTTTATGTCACCACCTACCATGGCAGAGCGGAACAAACTTCATTTGAGGGTTCGGTTTGCTAACGTACATGTAAACTAGAGTAAAGGCCCCCGTTTATGGCCTTAGATTGACCTAGATAGACTGAGATGTGCATGTAAACACACTGAGTTGAAGGTAGCAGTCAATCATTCAAGCATACCTCTAGTTCTAAAACAAAATGACAGTCACTAACAAGATAGTGATTGATTTCTTACCTAGGAATGAAAGAACAATGCTACCAAAACCAATAACTCCCAAGAAAATAATGGACTGCTGCGATAGGGAAACTGAAACATCATCAAAAAATATTTTTAAAAAGTTAGGAATCAGTTAGCATTTTTACGAATGAAATAAGTATACAATTGATACAATACAATGATACAATGGGCCTGATACAATGGGCTGCGCAGTGATGCAGTGGTTAGAGCTGTTGCCTTGCAGTAAGAAGGTCCTGGGTTCGCTTCCCGGCCTGGGATCTTTCTGCATGGAGTTAGCATGTTCTCCCTGTGCATGTGTGGGTTCTCTCCGGGTACTCCGGCTTCCTCCCACAGTCCAAAAACATGACTGTTAGGTAAATAGGTCTGTCTAAATTGTCCCTAGGTGTGTGTGTGTGTGTGTGTGTGTGTGTGTGTGTGTGTGTGTGTGTGTGTGCTTGATTGTTTGTCCTGTGTGTCTCTGTGTTGCCCTGCGACGGACTGGCTCTCTGTCCAGGGTGTACCCCGTCTGATTGCCCGTTTACCGCTGGAGATAGGCACCAATCTATTTCCCCTGGCATTATTTAGACCAAAGCTTTTCATTTACACAGTCTCTGAAGTTCATCACAAGATCATTTCACAAATCAGTGTAATTTTCGCGTTTTGTTTCTTGTGAATTCCATAAAAGTTTCATTTCTCTTAATGAAGTCTGGACTGTACCTACCACCCAGAGTAGGCATACATCCCATAGTAGAAGGCCAGTGGTATTTCTGACAGATGCAAGTGGCTCAGATCAAAGGCATTGTCAAAGTTACTGGTCTCTCCTGCACACACACACACAGACACACACACACCAAAGAGAGAGAGAGAGAGAGAGAGAGAGAGAGAGAGAGAGAGAGAGAGAGAGAGAGAGTCTAAGTAATTCCTCTGATGCAAATCAATAATCGATACTATCATGAAGTCTGATATAAAACAAGCTCAATAGCAGAGGGATGTGCACCAAAGGACCCCTGCTGAGAGGACAATGTTGACACTGAAGCTTGCTGTGAGCAGCTGTGTAGCTCAGCCTGTGTGGTTCAGAGGTCATATACTGACCCTGTGTCCTCATGAGACACCTAAGGGCGTGATATTTGTTGCAGCTGAGCAGTCTATGTAAGGCCAAAACATCGATGGAGCCCCGATCATTGGAACAAGGATGTTTGCTGCTGAGGCAAAGAGCTAAAAGGGGGGACTTTGTTCCTGACTTACCTTTAAACAGTTTATAGACCCCAGGAATTATGATGATTATGATGACCAGCAGCTTGCAAGAGGTGAGTAGGACCTGAAGCCTGGCAGTCCAGGTGACACTCATACTGTTCAGGAACAAAACTGTATCTGCAAAGACATACGGTTTATGTGAGGTCGAACTTCCTTTAATATTCCAGTAAATGGGCAGTTTGTTTCCAGTCTAGAGTCCCTTTCAAGACCAATCACTGAATACTGAGAAACAGGTTCAGATTATTTTCTGTGTCTGGTTGTACTCATTCTAATCGAACATGACCTCCATCTGTGTGACACGTCTAACACCATCCATCCATCCATCCAGCCATCCATCCATCCAACCATCCATCCATCCAATCCCAGTTGAGTGCTAGAGATACGTGTCTCAAATGTCCCATGGGCACTTTCATTTAGTCATATATTTATAATTAGTGTAAAATAACTTAATGTCTATCTAGAGGGGGCTCATATCCTATCATCCACAATATTACCAGCAATTATTTCTTGTCCAGAGAAAAAAATATATCATATTAAGCTAAATTCATGATGCATCCTTATCTCATGCACTCTCTAGTCAGGATTACACTCCCTATTGCACTCTATTTTTGCCTCACTGCTTGCTGTAGCTGCTGTTTCCTCACTACGCGGGGGAGGGGTTTGGCATAAACAAGGCTCTGGTGGGTAGCCACAGTGAAAAGGCTCACTAAAACACACACGGACATCTCCAAATAATAAAAGCCACTAGTGCAGAGCAGAGCATTGACCCAGAGGTTCCCTGATCGAGCAGACGCGTGGGAATATGTGTAACTACCGCTTAGAGATGGAGCAAGCCAGCAGCTAGCTGCTATAATCAAGTAAAGTGTGCTTCTTCAAAGATTCATAATGGTTTATGTCCCTATCTTAATGCATCAACTAATGCATACATTATTAGATTATTTACCTCAGCACCCCTGCTAAACAAATGCTGCCTTGAACTTGCTCTGATTGGTTCATCAGTGTGTCTGTCATGCCAGCAGAAGCAGACTAGCAAACAGCGTGACTCGGCTGAGAAAAAATGTGTGCCGGTAGACGCGTCCAGAAATGATGGCACAGGTCACAGAACAGTGACCTAAAATACATAAATATCATTTTACTTACCGAAAAAAATGAAGTGGAGACTCCTTGGACGCTCTATTAGTGCAATTAATGCCACAGCAAGTCATTTTGTCCAACAATTGCACAAATAATATCCAAAACAGAATACACAAACACAGAGACTCAAAATCCCAGAACAGTTTCCAGGCCAGACCGAGGCTCTACTGAGGCCTTTCCACGGAGCTAGCTCTGTGGTCACGTGAGTCGGATGCTCATAAATTATACAGAATTTTAGGCTTTTAATACACTTAAACAGAAAAGTGAGAAAAAATAATTCACCCCCCTCAGAGTTGTCATGAGTGTAAACTAGATCATTTAAACAAAAGCATGTTTTGGTACCAGGCTGTAAACATGTTTATTTCTGCTGTGAAATTGGTATTTTTAACATGGAAGTCAATGAGGATTTGCTCGCTTCTGACACCAGCCCCCAGTGGATGAGGGTGGAACTGCAATTTTTGGTACTTCCGCATTGGCCTCAATTTTTTACACGCATTGTGGGGGCTTGCTGACAACCTTGTGTTCCTGTAATGTCAACAAGCACTGCAGTATCCTTCTGGCTTGTTGGAAGATAGAATTTAAAATCTATTTAGAGAATGGAATTATGTCCGCAGATGACCGGTGGCATGTAGGACAATTTGTAGGTGAAAATTGACCCTTTCTGGACGTTACACTTGTTATTTTGCTACAGTTTGCACTCCCCAGGGATTTTTGACCATAATGAGCATAAGTAGGGAGGGTCTTACTCCAACACAAAAATCTGCTTGCTTGCTTGCAAAGATTTAGGTATACTGCCCCCTATCAACAGGAAAATTTTCACTTTGAAGACAACTAAATATTTTGCACTCTGAATTTTGCAATTTGAGGTAATTCCTTGTTTCCTATCTCAGCCTGGTTCTTCCCTCTGGTTAATTAATAAGTCTCCTTTTATGAAAACCATTCAACCAGTTTTTCCTCATGTTATTGAGTACATATGAAAAAAAAAAGAATTATGAGCTAGTTCGTTTTTGGAACAATGAATTTAGTTCAAAAAAGTTTCATGATGAACTAAAAAATGAACTAGTTTGTTTTAAAATGTATGAGTTGAACTTTGAACTAGTTTTGTTTTAAAACTGTAAATGAACTAGTTCATAGTTCTTTTTTTTCCATATGAAAAAATAACTATGAACTAGTTTGTTTTTGGAACAGTGACCTTAGGTAAAAAGGAATTTTAATGATGAACTAAAAAATGAACTATTTCGTTTTTAACATGAACTTTCCCAACACTGACAAGTTGTTTTCATGCTGCCACATTCCTCTCTGTAACTAGCCATGAGCTGTCATTCACAACTGTTGAGATTTCTCAGGAACACAATAAACAGGAGTTTTCATACATACTTAATCCAACAACTGTGGCCATTTTGACAGCCATGGGCGGCGGACTGCAGGGCATGAAGAGCGGTTCCAGGATGTACTGTCCAAAGGCCAGCGATATAACTGACATTGCTGCTGGCCTGTGGGTCACATGACACAGATAAGACAATCAATAATTAGTCAAACATTTGGTCTCAAATATAGTAAATACTGCAGTGATACTTGGATGGGAAAACACACATGAGTCGTGATCTATTGGCAGATGGTTAAAATTTGGTTTGTTTTAATTTTATATGATTTTTTTCATTCTGGTTTGAGAAAATGACAATTTTTAATATTGATGTGATTTTGCACAAGGTCAAAGATACGATGTAGTCTCAGTTAGGGATGCACAAATACTGATACAAGTATCTGTGTCGGTAAAAGTGAACCAATACCAGTGCAGTTGCCTGAATGTGGCTTCACCGTAACTTGTCATTTCTGTTCACCTAATATTTTAGCTTTGAGATCATTTCATTTAATATATTTTATTTTTTATCTACCTCACAGTCTTTTCCTGTTGAAAGCAGATAAGAAAATAAAACCTTCATAGCATTCATTGCATTTTTTGAGTGGTAGAAGCATCGTTATTGGTATCAGCAAGTACTCAGATCCAAGTATCGATATGGCATCGGTTTGGAAAAAGTGGTATGGATGCTTTCCTAGACAGTATATTTGGTTCTGGAGTCTGTGTTGCCTGGTTTCACCTGGAAATGTGGTTCAACGATACAAATGTCTCTGCAATCAGCATTAGATCTTTTTTCCTGTGACGCAACTCATCTCTGCTCTCAACCTTAAGATTTTCTGTTTGGCCTTCATAGAGGTTTTAAACCTTTCAAACATAAAAGTCAACTGAACTGCAGTCCAGACTTTAGAGCACTTACAGGATTTTTGAATATTCTTATTAAAATAAACTCAAGTATTCCTCTCTACATCACTGTTACCAACGTTATACATCATTGTTAGTGGAAGATTGTGCAGTTTCAGTTAAAAGACTGAACTAAAATTGTACATTACCTTACTGCAACGAGCTCGATCCAAAGTTTAACAAAAGCCAACATAGGTCCAAAAGCTTCCATTAAATAAGTGTAATGTCCTCCAGACTTCTTGATACAGGTCCCCAACTCAGCGTAGCACAGAGCTCCTGCAGACAAAAGTTACAGGTGGAACTGGGAAAATATGGTGCAAAAGTTCAATTATGTCAGTAATTCAAATTTAAAGGTCTAACTAATCTATGAGATGGACTAATTCTATGAGAAGCCAGATATTTTAGTATATGTTATAGTTGTGATGATTATAGCTTACAACTAATGAAAAGCTCAGACACAATGACGGTTAGAATAATGTAAATATATTCAATAATCTAAGTGTCACACTCTAATGAGCTAATGAGTCCGAAACACCTAAAAACGGGTTGCTGAGCCTCAAAATCAGGGGTGGGGATCCAGCATGTTTGTTTTTTTGTTTCCTTTTATTTATTCATCTATTTATTTATTGACTTGTGTTTCATGAGAGTAAAGCAACCTACAATGAGCCATCTTGTTTTCAAGTGAGTCCGCCTACCTTCCAACAAAAACAGGAAGATAACTGAGTCAGGGCAAGTCCAAGACATAAATTATGATTTTTTTTAATTGAGGAGTTAAAAAGAAAACCAAGTTTTATACAAAAAACTGATTGGTGCTAAAAAATATTTTCTAAAAAGATGGAAGTACAAAAAAATGGATTGGAAAACAAATGACAACAATGACATTTTCTTCTGCCTTTAAAGAGAGACAGCTGAGGCATATGTGTAGCAGTGGCAGGTTCTGAAGAGACGGCACAAAACTAAACTACATAAACTATAATATAAAGAATATCAGGAGATTTAAAACAGGCAACTATGGAACACTGGTAAATTATCCCAGCATAATCCAGGGGTGCTTCCAGAAAATTTTAATAGGGGTGGCCAGACGGGGCCAAAGACATTTTTGGGGTGGCACACCAAATTGGTCCTTCTGGTAACCCTGGGAGAGTTTAGCCTGGGGCGATGCGTTGCATTGCTCCTTTATACGTTTTTATTTAAAAACAGCATGTATCCAAAACATTTAACTTAAATTTTACATAGGCAAACATTTCAGAAAAGTACATTTCAGTTATTTAAAATGTTATTTCAATTTATATTTTAAAATGTATTTTTTTTTAGTTTAATTCACCTGTTGCTGTGTTCACAGAAAACTAGGAGGTAAAAACTTTTTTAACATGTGAGCAGCAGAAATATATGCATTTTTTAAATTCTGATTATTGCTTCACTCATTCATTGTATTATTTTTATTTTGTTTTACAATTATGTCTTGTATAAATAAGATCAATTTATGGTTTGAGGGAACATTAATATGATTTATTAACACTGGCCACCCCTTGAGGGCGCCATTGGCATAATCTAATTGCCGGTAATAGTACGCTACTATGTGACCATGGCTGCCCTGGGGCACACTGACAAGCGAGGCTGCAGGCCCCACTAGTACCCCCATGGATGGCGCTCGGGTTCGAGCCGGAGGCCTAACCGTTACAGCGTGCAAGCCTAACGCCACACACACACACACACACACACACACACACACACACATGCACTCATCATACGAGGCAGTACGTTCACAGAAAACAGTCGAGGCACACCTGGGGGCAGGTGGAGGTCTGGAACAGGAAGCAACAACAAAAGAGATTGCTTGAATTGATTAATAGATTAGAGATAAAGGTGAGTGGCAGCAGAGATCTAGATAATATGACCGAGTATCACAAGTTGCCCTCACAGCAAAGAGCAAGCCTCCCACCCTAAATGGTGGGTTCTTCAGCCAAGTCTCTGAGAGGACTAAGATATCAGGGTTACCCGACCAATCAAACATTTAACTAGGGGAAGAGGCTTCAACTTTTTTAAACTGCAAATCAATCAAAGGTCATCTTCTTCATTTCAGAAAGTAAAGTGATGGTTGAGGGAGGAGGGTATACACATGGGTCTGCATTAGGTTGAATATCCCCAAAGATCACCAAGAACTCTGTTGCTTTGGCAATATGGTCCGGTGGCCTCAGAAGTAATGCAACGATCCAAAGTCATCCGACCAGGAAAGCAACATTTAGAATTCCCAAAATGCTTTGAGGCAGTTTCAAAAGTAGCATCCATTTAAGGTGTAAGAAAGCTCAAATGTTCTCTGTAAAGACACTAAAAACAAGAAAAGAAATTTTCAGTCAGGGACAAGCAAACAAACAATGGTCTAGATTGGCTGCCATCTTGGAATCTGTTCTAATCTGATTGATAATCAAAGGTTGCTGATTCACATGAGCTACACATGCTTTAATCTCATTCTCAACAAACACACGTTGTGCTGACATGCATGCTCTCTGCTAATCTCCAGTCGACCCCGAGGAGAATGCTGCACTGTCTTTTATCAACACCTAGATTAAAGTTTAACGAGTGGTTAAAACAAGAAGTTAAGGGTACAAAGGGGTCAACAACAGAAATAATCTTCTGGCAGTTTCCACGGGCCTAAATGACCTAAAGTCACTTCTAATCATCCCTCCTGTGTTGCTCCTCACAGCTGCATTACTCAGGCTTCACAAACACAGGACCAACACTGATCTAGGTCAAACTAAGAGCCGTGTCCTCTTGTTTGGACAGGTGTTGCAGATGTGTGTTAAATTCAGACAAAGTCCCAAATTCTGTGGGATGTCTGAACAGAACAACCACATTCCCGTGAAAAACACACTGCTTAGCCACTCACCAAAAAGCGAGAGGACACCACAGGCGATCCACACCATCAGGGACATCCCGATGCTGCCAGAGTTCTTCAGAATTCCTTTCGGAGAGATAAAGATCCCGGCTCCAACGATGGTCCCAATAATGATGCTGATTCCTCTGAGAAGGGTCACTTTCTTACCCAGTTCCACCTTCCTTCCATTTTTGTGCTCCAGCTTCCCAACAGGCTCGGTCCCATTTTGGGACGACTTGTGTCCCAGAGACCTCTTCATTTAAACTCAGTAGGATAGGTTTCCAACAGGATATGATTCTCTCTGGCTGTTCCTGTGTGAAGAGAAACAACCAGTTACAGCTGTCATCATACAGCTCATAAATCTGTCACTTTTAGTCAGCAGATACCTGTTTTTCCACTTTCTGTCTTTGCTCCTGTTGTCCCCGTTGTACTGCTCTCTGTTTGCCCCCCATCCCATTCTAGTACTTATGGAGTCCTTCCCTCCTCCCTCTTCAGAGACATGCCTCCTCTCTAAAACCAACTTTGCCTCCCACAGATGAACTTTTGCAGTGATTTGGTGCAAAGTGACCATCTCATTGTTAAAGTCACCTCATCTGACCACTTCTCTTTTCAGCATTTCTGTTGTCTGGTTTCACCTTTATATTTATTAATTAACCCATTTTCAATCACTAAATACTCCTAACCTGTAGTTGCTTAAAGGCCCCGTGTGTGAAATCCATTGAAATCGTGATAAAAAATGTGACTCTTTAGCGCCGTGCAGTTCAAAGAAAGTATTGCAGCTATGGCGGCCCACTCACAAGCTTGATCCATCGGCTTGTTCGTATAATCAGTTTCCAATCTCTCTAGCCTAACCCACAAAGCATAAGATATAATGACTGAACCAGTTGAAAAAGCATTTATAATTATTACTGTTTTATCAGCCTACCAGTCCTGAATGATGCAAGCTAGTTCTATTAGATCTTGAAGCTGTCACGATTCACACACGGAGGAGGGGTGACGTCAGCTGGGAGGTCAGATGTCGTGAGAAATTGTGTTCCCCTGAAATATTCTGTCCCCCCGTGTCGGGAGGTCATACTTCAGTCTATTTTCACAACATTTGTGATAAACTTTTACGGTAAAATTATGTAATGTAATGTCATAATGTTATGCTTGTGATTGTGTATCTGTATTTCCTCCTAAAAACAATAAAAAATATACAGATAAAACATTCCTGTTCACTCTTTACAAGCTTATTTATCGTTTTTGAAAGTTATGTAAAAATAATTTCTCCACGGTAGCGGTTTGCTACCCAGTCGCCAGAATTGATCACTGGAACCAACCCGTTAGCTGACTTAGCATCGAGGTGCTGACAGTCTTTATAAGTTAAACAGAAGAGCGCACTGCAGCACAAACAGTACACGCTACTTGTCTGAAAAATAAACACGAACACTAGTGGTGTGCATCTCTACCTGCCTCACGATTCGATCCGATTCCGATTATCTGCCTAACGATTCGATTTGAGTCTGAAATGCGTCACGATTCTTCACACAAAAATTTTGATTACTTAATAAAAGCAGTAGAATAGTTTTCAATTTCTTTTTGATTTCGAAATCCCTGAAAAACAGAACATTCATCTATTCACTATAGTGAGCAATAATGTTTAAAGTGTGCTGCCTATAATTACTGAAATAATTCAAGAAATAATGTTTTCGGTAGAGCAGCTTTAAGATAGAATATTACTGAACTTAAAAATAGTAAACAAATACTGTGTTAATGATTCTTTCACATCCAGGATCCCAAAACAGAAATTAGCCCAGACAGCCGATTTAAATGTAACGGGTACATCTTTGATTACTGGTAATGTTGGCCCTGTATCCCTGTCCAATTGCTTCTAGGACAACGCAGTGCGCATGCCATTGTAACTCTGCCCCCAGAAGTAATTATAAAACCTCAAAATTTTATTGTCCTCGCATAGACATAGACCAGGGGTCGGCAACCTGTTCCCATCAAAGAGCCATTATTACCCGTTTCCCACAGTAAAGGAAACACTGGGAGTCACAGCAGCCGCGGCATTGTGGGCGGGGCCTACCCTCAGACAGCAGAGCGCTGCTCACAACAGGTGACAGCAGCCGGTCCCGGTCACTCGTGTATGTCAAAGTTATCTTTCATAAGAAGATAATCAATAAAATGATTTATATAAAGTGGATCCAGAAGTTGTAGCCCGTCTCTGCCTACAATATTTTGATATTTTTCACCCTGTTGGTGGTTTTACTGAGCTGGTGCCACTTTTGTCATATGTTTCTTTTTAAAACATGTTTAGACTGTTCAGAATACAAATCCAGGCTCTGTCACGTTTGTTTGTTGTAATTAAACTTTGTTGGTGGGGAAGGTCAGAAAAGGATCCGATCATTTTGTTTTTCCCTCATTTACAGTGACGGAGATAACGGCGCAGTGCGCCTGGCTCTGGTGTTAATCAAGTTTAATTATAACTATTTTCACAAGAAAACAGAACAGTTAAAAGCAGGGCTTGTGTTGTATTGACCGGATAGTTCCCGTTTTTGACCGTTTATTTTGACGGAGAAAAAATAGAAAGACCCCGACGCATGCAGACGAACTGACACTTTATTCGTTTCGCACATCGCAGATGTAGCTAAATCACTTGATTCCCATCTGAGCTGGACACGGAGCTCAGCGCAGCTCGCTGTCAGCGCGTACATACGGCGCACAGTGAGCTGAAGATGTGGAGAGGGGCTTGGAGCACGTCGCAGAACCAGGGCGCATGCAGGAAGATTCCTCCGACTGAAGCGAGACTTGTCACTTAGAAAATGCTCCCTGATTATGAAACTTTGGCTGAATAGCGCTTGTTCCTGTCTCCAATGTGGCGACACATCCAGGAGCCGTCTGAGGAGAATCCCAGAATCTCACATCCTCGTCAGCTCAGAACACGCATATGATTACGCACAAGCGTGACGCGTCAACCCGGTCTCACAGTAAGACCGGGTTGGACCTGTTCAGGTTTACGCAGACAATATTTACATTTAGAATTGGCTTACAGATGTAAAATTAATGCAGTTAAATATAAAGTATTTTATTTAAATATCCATTCATTATTTTACGAGCACAGAGAGCCGCATCAGATGGATGGAAGAGCCGCATGCGGCTCCAGAGCCGCGGTTGCCGACCCCCGACATAGACATAGGGAGAGAATCTCATTATGTCACGTTGCTGCATCGATGCGGAATCATGCACGGCTGAATCGCGATGCATCTTAGAATCGATCATTTTTCCCACCTCTAACGAACACCTCACGAAGGTTTGGTTCTTGGGGCGGGTCGGTTCTACAAGAATTAGACCAGAATTCCTGATTAGCTATCAGGCCCGTTAGCTTAGCACAGCTTTCAGCTCCTAACTAGTCTTGGTTTCGACAACAGGGACTCGCAACCCCTGATGATTGTCAACCGACTGACAGCGATTCATTGTCCCAAAATCCGCTGTTTCCTATGGGATAAAACTCCACTCCGGTGGAGCAGATTTAAGCAGTGTTTTTAACACTGACCCTACTGCACTACAGCTGGCGCTAATGACCTCTTGCCCTGAGGTTGGTGACTCACCTACCAAAGGGGGGGTTGAATGGTGCCCTAGACCACTGCTGGCTGACCCCGATCTCTCTGACTGCACCTGCACATTGACCAAGGGCCCTCCAGAGCGCCCACCTGCGCCAAACTCTCGCAAGGCCACGCCAGTCTATAGTCTAAAACGTTCCTGGTTTCCATTTTCAGGTCTGACAAACTAAGTTTTGTTAGTCGCGTGTATCGGTCTGATATCGACCATGGCTGAGATTCATTCTCAGTCTCCTCAAACGCGTCTGTACGAACCTGGGCCATTTTCGGGGATCACGCTCCGAGAACGCCCAGGTCTATTGATGACCAACTATCGTCTTTTCACACAAAAGATTTTCGTCAAATTCGACCCCGCTATGGCGTGTACTGATAAGATGACGAATGCCTTCAGCAACCTCTGGGAAACGGGAGCCCGCTGGACTAGTACCCTGACACAGCATGCAGAAGCTGACATCCGTCGCATACTGGTCCAGGTACTTAAATTCACGGTTTCGAACAGTGACCTTTCCGGTACCAGCAGTAGGCCGAAGCATCTCCTGGATGGACTTTTCTCAGTAGCTAATACAATTGGCAATCTTTTAAATTTCGGATTCTCTTCAGTCAACTCGATTGAGATTAACACAGTGTGTCGGCACATTGATGAGCTTAACAGAGAATATCTGGATCTGCGTAAGCAGGTACTGCAGCAGTGGCGCGCCTTGAGACAGCTGGGCACGTCTGAACAACAGACTATGGTGGTACTCAACATTGATAGCAACATTTTGTGTAAAACAACTTCTGCTGTGAATGAGTTACGTTCTTTAGTGAATGTTGATTGTGCTCATACACAGATGCTGACTACTTGCCTGTCCGACTATGGTTGGGACATGAGTGCCTCGATCGATACCGTCCTCATGGGGAGGATCCCTCCGTACCTCGTGTCCCTGGCCATGGTCCAGTCTGCGATTGCTCGTGTGACCTCGAAGGACCCGATGGCCCTTCAGACTCACTTGGCTTTCTCATTGGGCAGTGCTATCCCGTTAAGAGTCAGTCCAGATGCTAGAGAGCTAGCCTTCATCATCAACACTGTTGTGTCTCCAGATGGCATCTATAGATTAAGAGATGTGGTAAATGTAGGTAAATAGGTTGACGACACTCATGTCAGGTTACATACGCCTCCTGTCGTCGCGTTCCATGAGGACACGCCGCACGTCCAGTTGGTTCCGGATCTGCGCGTGTGTTCGCTCACACGTGGCCTACACTTCCTGTGTCCAGGCACACCTTTTCTACGTGGCGGAGCCACTGGTGTGTGTGTGGCATTGATGAGTTGTCAGTGTGTAAAAGAGTTAATTTACCTCTAATTAAGGACCCGTAAGACGTAAGATTCCACAGTAAATCTGAAATCAACCTTACGGACCGTTGGGTTATTTTAACCAGAAGATTGGAACTTTTTATTGCAGGGATTATGTAACACTTGTATTAAGTCAGAGACAAGAGAAGAGCGAATCGCCTTTAAAACATTTATAAAGATTTATTTCTAAACAATATAAACAATTTTAAACAAGACTAACTCTAACTCTAAATGATGAATGGATCTGGTGTAATGAGACGTGAGATGAATGGTGTATGTGTGAGTGATGTAATCAGAACTCTCGTATCCAGAGAAGCAAGTCTGAATGATGTTGTGATGTTTTGCTTTTAGCTATGATCGGAGTTTAATCAGAGTTTCATAAACACATGAGACGCCATATTTGTCGCTCTACACATACCCTTGAGATGAGACCTCCATACAGATCCAGAATGCCAGGTCCTCGGACCCCCCTTTCGGTACTGGAGCCGGTGAAACAGTGTCAGCAGTACAACAGACTAGTCTTTGGATTGTCTCCAAATTGGTTCAC